TTATACGACTGTGTTTTCACCATCGTAAAAAATTTTTATACGATGGTAATTGTCTTAAAATGTCAACATATATGTATTACGTATATACGATAATAAATTAACCATCATAACTAAGGCATAAATATGTACAATGGTAAAATTGTTAGAGTAGATGCCTTAGAGCCAATCAATTATTGTAGAATTGACTATTTGTAATAATGTTCATTAATAAATAAAAGACATTTTATTCTATATCATGTAAATCATATTGATATGTATTGATATATGTCCTTAGAATGGTAGAATTGTGACGAGGGCGTCAAGTGTTTCAAATCTTGATAGTGAAAACCTTATGATCACATGTGGTGGTCATTCTAGAAATGTCAGTAGCCCCAGTATTATTCTAACCATGGACACAGATAATACGGTAAGACTATTATAGTGTTGAATGACCCTGTCGAAAGGCAGTGACTGATCTCACTTGTCAAGATTATTTGCCGACAACCTGGTGCAACACATGGGTGCTTGTTGTAGGCAAGTTCACTGGATTGACCCACTAGAGGATTCTATATAGATGGTAACCCTAGTATCTATGAAATAGATCCTCTAATAGTGGTGCATATGATCCTTAGACTTGAGATCATCAGAGTGCCTTGTGCACCGATTGGTGTAGTTTGACACTAGCCCAACATAGTTCTATTTAGAGCTATCAATATGGTGGTAATTGGTTGCATTGAGGAGTGTATCAAGACTATGGTGGATCGACAAAGGATTCATCACTCTCGGGTATGGGAGGAGTTATCTCACTGTGCAATTCAGTAAATGGCAATGACACTAAAGCTTTGGCCACAGTGGGATTGAGTTGTTGCTCAATCCAATTTATTATTCCAGTCATTGGTCCAGTAACTGAATACAAACACATTGAGAGTAACTAAGGTTGACACTATTTTTGTACCTCAATCTTGATGAGATAACAGATTATGAAATGATTTGATTGCATGATAACCATATCGTTGATAGGTAGTTATTTCGCTGAATCTGAATCTATCAGGTGGCCATGACACCTTGCTATGGGCCAATCTTGGTCTATGTAGTGAGACGATTAATTGGTGTTAATCGCGATACTACTCATTGTTGGTATGATGAGGAGCCTACGGGTCACACACTTAGAAGATAATTTAAGCATCAGTTTATGCAAGGGGTATTTTTGTCTTTTAGGAAGAAATCGTATTTTGGTAATCTCACAGTGCAATTAAATTTACAGAGATTGTAACCTATGTTTAATTTAATGTTAAAATTAAACTAGTGAGATTATACTTAAATATATGTACGCATATATTTAAATGAATTATTATTATTAATTAAATGTTAATAGATTTCATATATATATATATATATATATAATAATTAGTTAAATATAAAATACCATAACAAGAGTGTTTGGATACAAGGGTGGATTAGGGTTGAAGCCCATGTCTATTCCTTATAGGAATAGGGTTTTAACACATGCACTATATAAGTGCAAATTGTGTTAAAGAAATCATTCATTCAATCATTATTAAAAGAAAAGGAGGCAACCCCCTTAACACCCTCTCTCTTACGTTCTCCCCTTGATGTGAATCAAAGAACTTTTTCCTTTGATTCAACTTGATTCTTGAAGTCAATTAGTGGATCTAGCAAATCTGTCTTGGTTCTTCGGATTGTCTTTATGTGGATCACCGTTCGTGTGATTCTACGTTGAATTGGTAGCAAAGTATATTCAGAGAATGATATTCGAGAAGAGGTATTTGCAAAACTTGTGCATTTTTTTTTAAAAAATTATTTTGGAGATATTTATGATTTTCGTCTTCCATTGTACTTTAAAAAACTCGAGTCGAAAGAATTAAACACTTTGAAAAACATCGATTCATCCTCTCTTAGGGTTATAAAATGCCTCATGTGCTCCCGACTGACATTAAAGTGCCAACCAATACCTTAAAAGCTTTTAGCATGTCTATATTGAAAATGTATGAGGTTATTTTGATAGTGAAATATTTGTGAAAAGTTTAATGCGTATATTTAGGGCTAAGCAAAATTTTCGAGTAGACCTGGAACTGATAGGTACCCAGTGTTCCAGTTCTTGTTCCTAATTAGAATGGACACTGTGTGTGTCGGTTCCGATTCCCAAATGTATGGAACCGGTATTGTGCAGTTTTGGAATCTGTTCCACTAGTTCAAGGAACAGGAACCGACCCGACAACCAAAACCAGAACTGATATCCGAGTACCCAAGTTGGAGCTAGTTTAAGAACCATGACTTAACTGATATTAATAGGATACCTAATGGACTTAATTGATATTTATCATAAGAATATGAAACTAAGAAACGGTGTAGTTTTAAGATATTTACAATTCAACGATAGATATCCAAACAAAAATAGGGTTTCACATCCAACGACCCAAAATACCTCCACCACCAAACATTGAAAACTCAAACCCTAACTCTTATTTTTCCTTTTCCTCTCCTATTGCTACTTCTGCGACTCAGTGCCACATTTTTGTGAAGTAGGAGAAACTCTCTATATCTCTCTCCACATGCCTTCTTTAGCACTCTTTGACGTTAACGGAACGAAAGAAGAGAAGAAGATGAAGAAGAAAATAGCTCTTCAAAGCTTAGATGAACTGGGTTTTTGGCGGGAAAGAAGAAAAAGGTGAATGACTCTGAAAGGTCTAAGAAGAAGGAGAGCAGGAAGCGAAAGGTTATGGAAGACGATGACAAAGAAATAAGTCAAACGAGCTCAGAATTAGGCGAGCTTGTGAATTTGAAATTGGATAAGAAGAAGAAAAAGGAAGCGAAAGCAGATGCTAAGGTGGAAGAGGAGGAGAAGAATGAGAACTCGAATGCTATTTCTCGATTTCGAATATTGAAACTATTGATAGACAAACTCAAGTCTAAGGGTATTGAATGTTTCCAATTTAGGCCACCACTTTTATAATTTTAATTTTTCACATAGTACAGGGTACCTAGATTTGAAATCGGAACCTATAGGTTCTGGTTTTGGTTCCATGATTTAGGAACCGCATTGTACCATTTCCGGTTCTTAAGATCCAGGAATTGATACTATGTGGTTTTGGTTTTAGCTCCTTAGTTTTGGGCCGAGTACCCGAATCCGCTCAACCCTAGGTATATTCGAGAATGAGATTTACAAAAAAAGACGTGTATATATATGTATAATATCATTTCGTTTAAAAAAAATTAATATAAGATCTTTCCTATGTAATCTTATCAATATTTAATAAATTTTATTGATCTTATATTAATTTGAATAGTTGAAAATTAATCAATGAAAAAATTACTCAATGAAGCAAACTAGACAAATTAATTAGAAGAAGGAAGAGGAACCTTACACAAGAACAAATTAAAATCATTGTAAATTAAAATTACCAATTAATTAGAAGAAGAAAAAGGAACTTTATGTGTATTATAATGATGGAGTCTTAGAGAGACATAATAAATTGTATCACATAAGTCTAATATCTAATTTTAGACAATAATATTTTCTAAATTGTAATATTAATTTTATACACATAAGTCTTACTACATATCTAACAAGTTACTAATGTTATCTGACAAGTCTTACTACATATTATAATTGATCATGGATTATATCTAACAAGTCTTACTATATATTATAATTAAATTTTGACATTTAATTTAAATAATAATTTGCAATTAATTTGCCTAGTAATAACTGAACGAAATAGAGACAACAACAGGAACAAAATAATAATAGTAAAACAAAACAAACAGTAAACAAAGAAAATAATACGCGCGATTTACCCTGGTTCACCCAATGTGGGCTACGTCCAGCTGAGTCAATATTATTGCAATATGCATCACCTCTCTCATTTACAATGAATGAATTGCTCTCACACACATAACAAGATAAAAGTATGTTTATATACTAGGTTTAAGAGATTAAATCTAGTTTTACAAGGATTCTTATTCCTAAGCCCAACCAAGTAAGGAATTAGTAACTTAAAAGAAATCATATAGCGGTTATACATGGAAAAGCCCAAAACCACCTACGAGACCCCCGAATGCGTCTGCGTTACCCATTAATGCTGAAGTAGTCGACAACTCCAACAATAATAAATTTTCTTTTGCTATGACTTCTCAATCCTTATCAATATAATAGATTCTCTCCATAGTGTTAAAGGATTTTAGTTACCTTTTGTAATGAATTTCTAATAAAGAATTTAGAAGTATAATTTATATAATCAGTATGTATCTCACATATATTTGTTAATATTTCTTATAAATAATAATTAATTTTATATTAATTATTGATTCTAATTTCATTAGTTTAATTGGAATATTTTAAATTTATTAGTAATTATGTAAAATACGGTCATCTGTAATCAAGTTTCATATAATCGACTACAATTCATTCCAATCTTTATTTGTCTAATCATAATATGCTTTTTCATTAGTCTCTACCTAAATTATAAAAAAAAAAAAAATGTATTAAAAACTAGAAAAAAAAGTGTATTAAAAAAATGTTTAACCTAATTGACCCTATAAAGACCCAGTTGATTGGGTCAGGGCGGGGCGAGACCAGGGGATAAAATCATCCCCACGGGCTGGGCCCAAGATCTCTCCCCCCCCTCCCCCCCGGGAGCCCAAGCCCAAGCCTGAGGATGGGTCGAGCTTGAGGAATCCCCTAGAAGTTGAGGACAGGCTGGGGAATGGGATCCCCTGCCCGTGCGCATCCCTAGATAAAAGCTTTAAGTTTCTTGTAAATTATGTCTTAAAATTACAGTTGAACTCTAGTAAGACTAACAGAAAGTCTTACGGAGTTGAAGCTTTGGGGTAGTTTATGATGATTTTCTTTGAACTTTTGGAAGAGATTGATTAAGATGTGAATAGTCTACATCTCATTGTGATTTAGCAAAGACCATGGAGGTAATTGATTTTTAGCCCTAAAAAAAATGGAATTATTTTGCCAAAAAAAAAAAACAATACCATTGGGTGCATGTGTAGCAACGTTACAGTGGAGCCATAGTCTGCGCGGCAAGTCATTGAATTCATCGCCAGAACCTGTGACTCTCCCTCTCTAACCATCAGCCATGCCTTTTCTCCATTCAAATCATCAACCAAAACCCTGAAAAAGCTTACACTATCAACAATGTCACTCACTTTATCACATCAGCTCTTCATAAACTCACTACCCTCTTCTCGTTCCTCACTCTTCTTCGCGACCAACCCCAGAAACCCTAACCATTTCTCTCTTTTATCTCCAATCACCTCCCGCAGTCTTATCCACATTTCCCATAGTACCCCCTTCACTTTCACTCCCAAATTTTATCACTCTCTCAAACCACCCAGCTCTCACAACCCCAGTATCACACCACAGACACATGAAAGTTTCAATCTTGATTCCGTTTTGTCAGTGTTTGAATTTGTTTGTCTTGTATCTTCTCTGGTGATTGCAATTGGGTTTTTTGTGAATTATTCAATTTTAGGGACCAAAGTGTTGGTGGGTTTAATGGGGAAGAGGGTGTTAGCGAGTGGTGTGGTGGCGTTGGTGTGTGGGGTGTGGACAGGGGCGGTACTACGGTGGCGGCAATTGTGGCGGATCGGGAGAGAGAAGGGTGGAGCTGTGGGAAGTGGGAGTGTGAATTTGGTGGAGAGAATTGAGAGATTGGAGGAGGATTTGAGGAGTTATGCTACAATTATTAGGGTTTTGTCTAGGCAACTTGAGAAGTTGGGAATTAGGTTCCGAGTTACTCGCAAGGCTCTTAAAGAGCCCATTACTCAGGTAATGGAAATTCTCAACCTTTTGATTATTGCAGTGTATTGTAGAGCATGATTTAGGGAGTATAGTGTGGAATTTTAAGTTTTGATGACTTAAATATGCAGATTAGGATTTAGAAACTAAACAGCTATATGGAACGCAGAAGAATGTTATAATATGATATGTTCATATTGTAAAGTATAACAATCATAAGAACATGTCGAAAAGTGTGATATGAAATGTAAACAGCTAAACAGAATGTTTACAGTTGCCTGCTAGAGAAGGAACAACGGGAAGAAACCTAGAAGTGAGGACATTTTTCCCCTTCAAACTTTAGAGCTTTGGTGTTAGTTTACTGTTGGCAGTCTTAGTTAACATGCCCTTTTGTCTTCTTCTTCGGTTTAAAATAAAAAACGTAATATATTGCTTTTCTTGTAGAATATTTCTTTTTGTAACTTCCTGTGTGGTTTCATTACCTCAAGCATGAAGAGAAATGTGTTACCCTGTGGTAGAGACTTTGATATAACTGTAACCTCAGAACTGTGAATTTTGTAGGTCAGATTCTTCTCTATTTTGTGTGTGTAAGATTTCTTCATTGTCTTCTAGACTGCAGAATCCTTGTTGCAGTCCACTATCTATAATTGTTTAGTCAATTTAAGATGATTTTAAGGCCGACTTTCCAACTCAAGGACCATCACCAATTTACAAGGCCCTCCAAATTGGCAGTCCCTCTTTTCTATAGTTAGGGAGTAGGTGCTTTGTTTTGCCAAGCATCTTCATTCATTTAATTTGATTTCAAGGGAGTGATTTTGTATATACTTTTTTATTCTTTCTTTCTATAAGGGGGACAAAACTAGGAACTTGATCAACAGCTACTGGATTATTATATGAGTGAGAATTTCAATGTGTGCTGCTATCATTAATTTCTCCCAGCACTTAGCAATTCCTTTATTATACTGGACAATCAGGTTATCAAACAAGTTAAAGCATCGCATTATTTGCCTAATGTTGGACAGTGATAATAATGCTATTATTTCCTTAAGAAAATAGAAATATTCCTTGTCATTGCCCAAAAGAATTTTCAGATGGTAATAAAATATGTCATTATTAATATGTAGCAGTTGTGTGCTGACATGGATTAGAGAAATTGAATCAACAAACTTTCTTTGTTTTTACACACTTGCTGGAGGAGGCATAACTAGAGTGTTAATTGTCACGAGTGAGATTAGTGAGATAGAGCCTGATGGAGCTGAAATTTGATCTCTCTGAAGCTATTTGTTGGGGGCATTCCATTGAGTAATTAGTTGGTGCTGACATATTTAACCTCTTGTTATAAGAGATTTAGATTAGGTTTTTGATTTAGAGCGCCAAATCTTATTTACATAAGTTGGCATTTTCCTTCTATGTGATAGGTTCAAATTTATAATAATGAGTTCAGTTTTAAATACCTATTATCATGTTAGAATTTTGTATATGTTTTAGTGGTAGAAAATTGTGTGATCAACACATTAAACAATCTATAGGCTTATGTAAGTATGTCATTTGCATGAATTCATGATGTTATGACAAATGGAAATAAAAGTATGCATGTAATAAGTGATATAATATATACACATTACTTAAATCTCAAAATAATAATCTTTCTTTTTTTTAAATATAAACATGGTATGTATAGTGATACACTGACAACTTTAAATAACATTAGTTTTTGACAACTTCAAATAACAGGAGGATTTGACAAAATCATAACGAGAATCTCTAGGGAGATACTCTAATATGGTATAAATTAGTATCTGAGTATTAAGAACAATAGACTCAATGAAAACATTTATTTCTTTCTTCAAGACATGCTTTTATGTGTCCAAGCAAGAGTAGTGTTCTGACTAGACATGTAATATGGCCCAGGTTAGCACAACATGACACGAATCAAACTTGAAATTACACCACATAAGCAGGGCATAACACGACATGAATACAACAAGAGATTTGGTCAAGGTTGTGCTAGAAAAGTATGAAGCACTTATAGGTCGTGCCAAACAGAAAACCCATGAAGGCTTTGTGCCTTCGCACAACTGAAATGAGTTGTACTAGTACGACCATTTTATGAATGTGCAAATCATAATTATCTTAATTATAATTACTAATTACCCACCTCACTGATATCGAGTCACCAGTCAAGCTCTCACCGCTCACTTAACTAGACCAACCCACCAACCACATTAAAATTCGTTAAAATTTAGATAATTTTGATTTGTGTATATACAAAGTTGGTCCAAATGGGCTGTGCCATAACCCATTTGGGCTGTGAAACATGAAGCCCAATTGTGTTGTGCTTTGGCATGAATCCTATTTGATTCGTTCTAGAATGAAACCCATTTGTGTTTCATGTTTGGCACGATTCCAGTCGAACTTTTAAGACCATCCAACTCCGACCCTCATGCTGTGCTGTTACAGTATTTGTGCTGTACCTTGTTCTTGCTGTACAATTACTTGTCATGTCATTTCAACCCTTACATGTCTACAATCAACATATTTACTGGATTGTGTAGTGTATAAATTTTAGCTATGTCTTCTGTTGAAATGTTAATTATGAACTTCTGGCTCCACAAATTTGTTCTCCCAGTTCTTTATTTTATGGCCCAAAGGAATGCATTAGACAGCAAATCGTTGTTCTTAAAATCCAGTTTACAATATGCTTTTATCCTTCAATAGAAGTATATGATCTCCTGAAATATTGGAGCTTCAGAGAAAAATTATAGTTAAAAAATCAACTAATTGGTGTAAGAAACTTTTAATTGTGGTAGAATTGTTGTGCAAGTCTCTTAGTACACATGTTAGCTCTTTTGATTGTGCAATATATTCATTTGTTGTTTTTTCTTTCTGTTTGTGCTTGAAGGCTGCAACTTTGGCCCAAAAAAATTCTGAGGCAACTCGAGCATTAGCAATGCAAGAAGACATTCTTGAGAAGGAGCTGGGAGAAATTCAGAAGGTTTTGCTTGCCATGCAGGTAAATTCAATAACATGGCTTTTATGATTAGAGTGAATTAAATATTTTAATTCAGGGAACTAAAGTAGTTACATTCTAAAATAATTATTTCAAGAGAGGTTGGGGATTGCTAGATTATTAAAAGAAATTATTTCAGGTTTTTCACCAGTAGAGATTTAGGTGTAACAGAAATATTTAGGTCAATGTTAATTATGTTCACCTAATTGTCCGACCTTATATATATTCTCAGCCTTTCATCTTGTTGGTTTGAGGAGAAATCTCTTTACTGATTAGTAGGTATAAAAGTTGCTATTTGTATTATTGTTATTTTGTTTAGTTCTTCTAGGTAAGTCTGATACAACTTTAATGTAATTTTTATTGGATGACTTCAAAACTTCTGGAATAGCGCACTGATTTTCTTCCAGAAAGCATGCTTGAAACTTATTAAGGTTTCATCTGAAGTGGCTTGATCGGAATGACCGTGTATTTTCAGACAATGATTGAACCACAAAGGGCTATTTTAATGTACCCATGAGGTTGCCAACGGTACAAGCATTACTCTAGCCAAAATGTTGCCCTTTGATTATGTTATTACTCTTCGATGGTTGATCCTTGGCTAGGTGGATCAAATGCATTATAATAAATATAGTTTTGTGTTGCAAATTTAACTGTTGATTTGACTTCAATATTTCCTATTGAGTATATCTATAGGAGCAACAGCAAAAACAACTTGAGCTGATACTTGCTATTGGGAAGACTGGGAAGTTATTTGAAAGCAGGCGGGAATCTAATCAAGAACTGGATACACTCAAAACCTCAAATATGGTTGATGTGGCTGAACAAATGGAAACCCACAAAACTCAAGCTACGGGTTCAGGCAGGGGAAGCAACAATGACAGATCCTAGGAATTTTATAGCAGCGGTCACTACTTGAGTCATCATTTTCACTGCATAATATCAATTAACCAGTGGCATGCTTGGTTTAACTGAGGATGAGAGCATTCCATTTTTGAGCCTGGGAAACGTTTCTCAGGTTCTTGGATTGCCACTATAGAAGATGAAAGAAAAATTGATATGAAGTATAATTAATTTCTTGTTAAGCATGTGATTATACCAATGAGACAATGGTTCTTTGTGCTCGCTCGAGTTTGTAACTATTGTAATTTTATTCAATCTCATAGCTTTTTTCTTTTCAGAAGACTGATCCTCATAACATCTGGTGCAATGGTAGCATTCTTTTGGAATCTTCAAACTACATTGTTTGCTTAAAGGCTAAAGGGTTATATATAAATATTAAAAAAAAAAAAATGGAAAAATTGGTTAATAAAAGAATCGGTTTGCTGATCCCCATGAATAACTTCGAACATGCATTCACCCAGGTAAACTTAATCTCTTTTTTATGTTACAATATTCTTTTTGGGAAAATTTCAAAACATACGCCTGAGGTTTTGCTAATACTCTACGGTAACTATGTCAAAAATAATCGCAAAATACCCTTTCTCACTAACATTTTGAGCTTCCTTTACCTTGAATTTTAAATTTTTTGTGAAAACGTTATTTCACCCACACTTTTATTGAAGACGGAAAAGATTTTTCTTTGAACTAGTGAAATTTAGTTTAATTAAAATATTATTCAATTTAATTAACAACTATATGGTTAAGATTAACTAATGTTTGGTTAATTTTAATGAGGGTGGGTTAAATTTACTAGGGGTGTGCAAAATTTTCGAGTGGACCTGGAACCAACAGGTACCTCGTGTTTGTGCGGGTTGGTTTTCGTTCCCAAACTTATGGAACCAATATTGTGTGGTTCTAGTTCCGATTCCACTAGTTTAAGGAACTAGAACCGATGCGAGAATCAGAATCGAGATCTAGCTACCTGGTTCGGAACTAGTTTAAGAACTGGGTGGGTGGCAATTTTGTAATTTCTAGATGTGGGAATTTGGGACCGAACCAAAAAGCCCACCAAAAAACCCAAGCTTAGGACCAGTCCTAAAACCGGACCCAAACTGTGGAGGAGGGCCCGGTAGGGGTGGGCAAAAAAATAGGGTAGAACCGAAACCGACGGGTACCAGACTTTTGGTTCCGGTTCCTACCCAAAACTGAAAGTCATAGGGTTGGTTCCGGTTCCAAAAAACTGGAACCGCCACTGTACGATTTCGGTTCCTACAATGGTGGAACCAAGAACCGGAATCGGAACTGGGACTTAAATAAAATTTTGGGAAAATATGAGGACTTTATTGATATTTTACGCTTAAAATAAAATAGAAAATTGTGATTGGAATCATATTCATTTGTCATTTGATATTTCGATTTAGGGTTTAGGGATAAAGAAAAATTGGGCGTTTTATTTCAAATCTTCGGATTTGTCTCTTAATTATCTTTTGTTTTCTTCCCAGTAACAAAGTTCTCTGATCAATTGTCTCCTCTAAAGGTACTTTTTTTGTGAAGTTCATCAGCTATGACTCTTTTTCATCTATTTGGTTCTGTAAATTTGTGTTTTTTTATTTGGATTCTTGCTCAAAAGAGGAGTTTTTCCTATGTTTAATGAGTGCAAATCATATCAGTTCATATCCTAACCTATTTACATTATTCTTTTGTTTGTTTGTTTGTTAGACTAAAGAGTGTTTAAGGATAAGGGAGAGTGCAAAGGGAGTGAATGTTAGTAGCAAAGAGAAGAGCAGTCTGGAGAAGAATAGAGAGGAGTTGATGTCATAAGTTGTAGAGGAAATTTAACTCTCTAGACCTCCCAAGTTTGCATTTAAAAAAATGACCCTGAAAATATTTTTGAATTTTTTTTTAATTTAGAAAAGCTGACATGGCACACTTAGGATTCATTAAACATGTAAAACGGGTTAAACTGAAAAGATTTAAACATATGAGGGTAAAATCATAATAACAAAAGTTTGTTTAAATTTTGAAATTTGAAAACGAGCCCCTACCTTTCAAATCACTTAATCGAGCCATATACCCAAAAAACGACCGACGAACACATTTCGTTTTTCTGCGATTTTCGGCAACCATAATGCCTTAACTCTGGCAAATATTCGATCCTAAAGCTTCCTTACACAAAACCATGGTTGACATTCACAAAGAGAAGGAAAACCCAACCCCACTCTGAATCCTAGACTCTAGTGATGCCAGCAGTTCAAAGGCTATCGAAAAAGATGTTCTTGTCACGACCCAAAACGTGGGCCGGTGGGGATTACAAAGTACCCACTCTCGTGACCATTCTATTCAGTACTGTCCCCCCCCCCCCCCCACCCCCCCCCCCCCCCCATTTTAAGGGATTTCTTCGCCTCTCCCATGGCTCGAACCCATGCCCAAGGGGCTATAGGCAAATGGGAAGCACCATGAGTACCATCAGGCTAGCTAATTGTAACGCCCCACTTGAGGTACGTACTTAAGATTTGCTGTATTGCTTAAATTTTCTTTGATTCAGCTTTAATTGAGTTTGTATGTTGAGTTGGTTGAGTGTTTGCCTTGAATTTGGTTGAGATTTGAGGAATTTTGGAAGAACAGTCTTCGCCGCGGTGATGTTGGCTTTGAGTAAGGCGGTGTCGACTCTGTAACTTTTCGTCGGGGCGACGGAAGTTTCTTCGCTGCAGCGACAGACCAGTTGAAAAGTTTAGTGAGGTTTCTAGAGAATTCTCCATAGCAGCAAAATGACCATTCTACCCCTAATTAGTAGGAAAACTGGGGAGTAAAATGTAAGAAAATTTCATGGAGAATAGTTTAGTGTAGGGGTGTGAGTGTAATGAATCAAAGGATAGATGGAATTTCTAAGGAAGAGCAAGGGCAAAATGGGAAAGGATGGTTATAAAATGAGCTAAGAAAAGGGTTAAGTGTAATAAACCCTTCATTTCACCCATTTCCACCGCCATACCCATTCTCTACTTCCATTCAATTCTCCATTCAATTTTCCAAGATTTTTAAGGAGTTTTGGGGTAATTTTAGTAGGGCTGGAATCTAAAGCATCCTAAGGCAAGGATTCTTGCTTTGGATGTGAGTTTGTTTATAGTTGTATTGAAGTCTTATAGTGTTGTTATTGTTTAAAGTTATAGAGAGAAGACAAGACAACAAAGGAAAGGAGAAGTGTTAGAGAAGTCACTTATTCACAAAGTAAGTAAATCCAACCCAAGTTGAGATTTAAGAACTCCTTTGAGTAGAGATGTATATATGAATGAATGAATGATTGTGTATGTATTATATTTGTTGAGATAAGATGAGATGAGATTATAGTTATTGATGAGTATGGAATATACTGGAATATGAGAAGTGTTAAGATTTTATGGTGTTGAGTTGAGTTTTGAGTGAAGTTGAAGGGAGTTTGAGTAAACCCTATTGAAGTGTTTCTTTCATTAACAGGAATTTAGAGTTTATGAGAGAGTTTTCTCCCATATTGGGAAGGTTCAAGAGAAGAGAAGAGTTATTGTTACAATAGAGTTTTATATGCACATGAGTTGTATGATAAAATACTTGAGTAAGGCATGAGTAAGAGCAGAGAACCTTAATTATTGCTACATGGCATAATTGCATTTCATGATTGCATTAATGAGCATGAGTCATCCATATGCATTAATTGCATTAGAGAAAGAGAGTAGAGAAATAGTAGAGAATTTGAGTATAAGCTACTTTAAGAGTAAAGAGAAAGAGAGAATGAGCACTAGAGAACAAAGAGAAAGTAGTGCTAAACGAAAGGTTTGAGTAGGTTGTGCGATGGGGAACCTGTGAGTAATGGGTAGAGTATTCCCGCATGTACGCCGCATTGAGAGAGCGGCATGAGTATGAGAGAGAGAAGTGGTGTAGCCCGTGAGAGTGCATATGGATGAGGGCTATACCCGAGAGTACCCGAGAGAGAGAGATTATATACTCACATGGCCAAGGGTTCCGAATCCATGCATAACCAAGTCTGATCGACTAGAATGAGTAGAAGTCACGTAGTGCGGGAGCGAGTCCCGACCGTGCCTCCGGTAAGATGAGGCCGTGATTTGGGTTATGAGAAAGAGAAAATAGAGAGAAGTATAAGAGAAAGAGTAATTAAGCATTGTAAGGAAAGAATTAGAGAGAGAGTTACGGGGTTAGATGAATAGAGGATTTGCATACTAAGCATTATTTTAGTGCTCACCTCGTTGTTTTCTATGTTTTGCAAGATCTAGGCGAGGACACAGTTGGATGGGCGTCGGCAAGCGAAAGGAAATGGCTACACTGTCCACCTTGTTTTTAATAGTTTTTGTCCATGATACGAATTTTGTATAAAGAATGTATATGTTTAATGAAAGAAAAATTTTGGGCCCAACTTTTTATGCTATTTTACATGTATTTTTACTATGTATATTTTAAAAGAATATGAGTAGAATAGAGTTGTTACATTTTGGTGGATTATCCGATGAGTGAAGGTGGTCCAGAGGCAAAAGAGACAATGGCAGCACAAGAACAGAGAGAAGAATCGGAAAACAGTTCTGAAGAGGAGGACGCCGGTGAGAATTCAGGCGAGGAGGAGGATGCTGGTGAAGAAAGGGTACCTTTTTACTTGTTTTTTTGAATTGGATGAGAAAATTGATTGATTTGTGCGAATTTGGGGGAGATGTAGTTGGTTTTATTGTCATGGTGGTTGTGGCGTTTTGTCAAGTAGTTGGCGAGCATTGGTGGAGTGGTTTTGTTTGGGTTCCAGAGGATGGGAGAAGGCAAGAGAGGCCGTAGGGAGGTTGCTTGTGAGAGGTTGGTGGGCTGGGGATGGCAGGAGGTGGTGGAATATTGCAGGGCAGCCCTCTAGCCCCCCTATTTCGCCACCTCCTACCATCCTCAACCCTCCAACCTCATGGAACCTACCACAATAGCCTTTGTAGGGCTTGCATTTGCTTCCCCGATCCTTTCGAGGCCAAAAACACCCATTCCCCGATGCCCTCGAAGCCTATATCCCCCAAATTGGCAGCCTATTAGTTGTTTTGGTTTTTTTTTTTTTTTTTTTTTTTTTTTTGTTTTTTTTTTTGATTTAGTTTATATCTATTATGCAAAATTTCCGAAGTGTAAATTATAAAGACTATGGGTTGGAGGTTGAAGCGATAAGGTACCATACTTCCCGTAAGGGTGATAGTTAGGTTGAGTTGGCAAGTTTTACGGAATAATGGATATTTTACAGGAACAGAAGAAGGGTTTAGACCAATTCAAAGAGAGTTGTTTCAGTTATT